CCATCTTCATCTACTGTTCCTCCTTTCTGTTTTTATTACCTTCTTATTCTTCTGCTTCTTCCCCTCCTTTCTGCTTCCTCTTCGTGCTTACTAAACAAAGAAAGAAGCTTATATTACTTTCTGTTTGAAATATATGACTGTACTTACTTTTAGTACACTGATGTTTTATTACTTACTTTTATTACACTGATGTTTTATTTTGTGTCATCTTAAAAATATTATCTGTCTATTGTAGGACACTGGAGAATTGATGTTGCCTTCAGAACTGAACAAGTACCAGGAGTTTGCTTTTAAGAAAATTATATTCAGACCTGTGAGTATGTTATAAAATATTTTAAAATTTGTTTAACTGAAACATGTAGATCCTAGTTACTGTAATATTGGCCTCGAGATTGTACATGCAGAAATCGGAAAGTGCAGATTGTCACAAAGGAAGAACCTTGCTTTGTGGTTTTAGATACCACATTTGATTTCTGTGGTCCTAAGCCCCACAGCAAAACTATAGAGAAATAGAACATTACATATAATATAATTTGTTTATTCAGGATGAAACTAGGAATCTGCGTAAGTTAACAGAGCCAGGTATAAAACTGCTAGGATTCAGACCTGAATGCAAGATCAAAATCCATCACCATCTAAGACCATCATCTTTTATCTTCCCAGAAGAAGGACTTATTCAAGGTAATCTCTAGAAGAAGATAGCAATAGCTGTAGCGACATCTGTGTATCAGTTACGACACTAAAGTGCTCTGTTGTTTACATTGTGTTTGAAATTTATTCAAGGTGCGCATAGTTTTAAGCATGAAATATAAATGTATTAATCATGTTCTTCCAGTATCAGTTTAACAGTGTGTATTCAGTTTATTTTAAGATAAACCCAAGTGATGATAAAGTACTTCATTACACTTATAACATTATCCCTGAAAGTGAAAGACCCAGAGGCTGTGTTTGTGTTCGCAGGCAGCCGTAAGCTGTTTGCAGCACTCCTTGATCGCTGCATAGCAAAGAAGGTTGTGCCCATTTGCTACTTTACCCCCAATACAAACTCTACTCCGAGCTTGGTAGCACTTATTCCTCAGGAAGAACAATTGAATGATTCAAACATACAAATAATTTCACCTGGTTTCCATGTTGTTTACCTTCCTTACTCTGGTAAGTGGTCCACATTTTCTTGCATTACATAATATATATTTTTAAGTATATGATTATTTTTAACTAACAGCTCTTCAAGGAAAGAAACTAGCAAAATCTACCTATAACTTGGTTTCCTTATATAAGTGAACCAGATTTTTTAGACTTTGTTACCAGGAAATACTTTATGAAGGAAGTGTTTGTACACAAATATCAAATTTACTAACAATCTGTTGTTAATGAAGTATCTTGTAAAACAAACATAAGCTGACTAGAGTAAAAGTATGTTACATCTACAGTGTGTAATAAAGATTAGCAATGATGAATATCATTTTATACATGGTTAGTTTAACCCTTTTTCTATGTTAACAAATGGGACCCATATAATAGTGGTAAAGAGCAGGGAATTTATTACATGATAGTAAAAACTGGAAGCCATTTGTTATCAGTAATTCAGCCTATTAGGGTTTCTGCCTTGTGAGTCCCTCGGCAGGCATTGTGCCTTTTATTTCTTGAAAGACCAGTGCAGTTACTCTCTTGTGGCAGACTTATTTTAAATGGTATATGCCTTAAGAAGGTTCCAGTAACATTTGAATAAGGGAACGTTGGAGATGCTTCACAACCCCTTGTATATAAAGAGTCTCGTGAGTAAGAAAACTATCTGAATGTAAGAACAATTCATTACATCCTGTGTATCATAAATCACATTTTCCAGCCAAGACCAATTTTGTAACATACTCCCTGGATTGGCATTGATCATTTTGCAGCAAGGAGCACTGATCAGAGAGTTGTAATATAAGCTGAAATGTATATCGTAAGATAGATAGCAAGTTTTGCTCTTTTCTCCCAAAGTACTCAGGAACATACCTAGACTTAATAAGGATTAAAACACAGTAAGTGATCAATATATGATGTTACATAATGAAAAATTTCATAATATGTAAAGGTCTTGTAACAAAAAGTTAGGATAGTGAAGTCTAGGGCTGTGATGAGCTGGGTATACAGAATTTTTGTGGGGACACACCTTAGTAAACTTTGAAGACAGAGAAGTTGATGGTGGAATAAAAGTAATATTGATTGCGAAGATTGGAGATGGATGGAAATATTATTATTATGATTTATTTACTGCAATTGGGTTTGCATCTGGTGGCAGTGGTATTGGCAGTATTGAATCTTTGGTATCTGCTACCACACTGTTAGTTATTAAATATGAATATGAAATACCCAAAATAAACTGAAAGGAAGCGTAAAACTATGAATTTCCTGTTTGTAGTACCTATAACTGGTCAACTACACCAAACAGTAGGAATGTAGATGATGATGTTTTATTTATTATTAATAGCTGGTTTTATTATTCTTAACAGAGGATATTCGCGCATTGAACATTGAATCTACAGCAAGAGCAGATGCTGAGCAAATAATAGCAGCCAAGGCAGTAATAAAAAAACTCAAGTTTGTGTATACACCGTACAGTTTTGATAATCCGAAACTACAGACTCATTGGCGGAACATAGAGGCTCTGGCTCTCGACTATAATGAACAAACAGAAGTAAAAGATGTTACAGGTAATGTTTCTTTCATATTGGTTTAGCTATTATTACACATGTAACAATAATTATAGGTTTTATCTATATGTGTATGTCTGTCTGTTCTAGTAAATGGAACCATGATATTATATACCATTTTTGTATTTAACTTTGTAGGCTGTTATGAACACAGCAATGAATCTTGGGTATCATAAAAGACAGTGAACTGTTTCTTGTCTAGCTGAGCATACCTTCCCAAGAAGTACTGCTGCGTGGAGTTGGTACCATTTCCCCTTTTATATATTCCGTGGTATTTTAATGCCTGTAGTTGTATTCTTTTGTGCTTTCTTTGCCTCTCTTCACCTGGCAGGGGTGAATGTATCCACAGGGGCATTGGAAAGACTCTTGATTCATCCAAAGTTTATAATGGATAAAGCTAATATCACAGTTTCAACAAAATGTACAGAGTGGCCACAAACTTCCTATCCATGAGATTGTATCCTCTGTTAATTATTTGTTTTATATTTATTCTGGGTAGGGCTACCGACCATCAGCGTGGAAGAAGATGTCCAGAAGAACATGGGGAAAAATTAAAATTTGGGTGTAGAATGGAGGGTATCATACAGATAACTTCTGACTAACATGTGTGGGGACTTTGTGGCCACTCTGTATATTCTGAACTGTGGTGAGGTCTTCGTCCACACGTTCACAGTTTTGATTTTCTCAGAAGTTTGATGCCCAATTATGTGATTTCCCCAGAATTAACCGTCATCCTAACATAGGATTCAGTATTTTTTTTTTATATTAGTTCCAGATTATGAATCTATGGCAAGGAGGCTAGACTCGTTGGCCCAAGAGTTCCTAGACTCTGTCTATATCGGTGGTTATGTTCCTGGTGGAAAACCAAAAACTTCAGGTGATAGGAAGAGGACCACAGATACATGCAGTGATAAACCAAGGAAAGCTACAAAAACTGCAGATGTGGGAGACATGCAAGATATTGCTACCTGTGGAAAGGTGATCTACATTGCATTCAGATTTGATCTTAGTAACTTGACTGTTACATTATGCAAAGGCAAGTCAGAACGTAAAGGGAATTTTACTTCTCAGATGTGATGATGATAACACTGGAAAAGATGGTGTATAAGAACAGTGTGACTCTTCCCTCATTTGCACCTAGATGGTTTTGTTTTCATTATGTTAAGACTGTAACGTATTTGATATTGCTGCCGCATTGCTAGAATCCACCCAAAAAGGAACAGTGGTCTGTGATCAATATTTTGTGATCAGAAGCTGTGACAGCCCGTTGAATTTTACTGACTTTTCAGAAGTGCTTACTGCCTCCATCATAAGGGCCCTTGAAATGTCATACTTCTACGAGACTACACAGTGCATCATCCCAGAAGACACTCATCAGTCATCTTTTTCATACACATTTTAACATTATTAAATTAATGCTACACAGACTAGACCTTATTACAACAAATTGTTATTGACTTGTAGGTAGATACCAGTGTTTTTAAAGAATGTACTGCCTTCATCTTCAGGTGTGGAGGGAGGCAGTAGACTGCCTATAAGTCCATGGGCATTGCAACCCAGAAGACCAGCATCAACATTCTAATTTATAATTATTGTTTCAGGTTGAGAAACTGAAGGTGGATGAATTGAAGACATACCTAAAGGGTGAAGGGATTGAAGTGAAAGGGTTGAAGAAAGTTGAGCTTGTTACCAGGGTGTACCAACACCTTGGCATAACCCAGCCTAATTAGAAGCTGTAGTGTTTTTCATTTCCTGTTAGATGTAAAGGAAGTAAAATCTTCATTGCCCTGAAAAATAATTTGTTTATACAAAGTAAAATATGGAAAGTATCCAGTAAGTGACTTTTTGAACAAACAATTCCTTTCAGAACTTCATTATGATACTTGCATTTTGTATTTTTTAAGTTGTAGTTACCTTTCTGTGGGCAAATACTTTGAATGACAGACAGCTTCTGTCAGTAAGAAGTAAAGTATTGCAGAAGAAATTGCTAGAAGTCATATATTTCAGACAAAGTTGCTCATGCTTTGGTTCTACCTGGATTTTATGGACAGCCAAAAATCCTGAAGAAAGACATACCACTACCCCGCAGATCCCCTCGCATTTTACATCTAATGGATGTCAAGTGTGCAATTTTATGTCAGCCACTGCAACACTGGTTGCATTACAGGGTAAAGTTGGGTTAAACAAAAAGTAGCTCCCCTGATGATAGGAGCAATTGACATTTGTCAAACAAATTTTCATGATTGATTAGGTCTGGGAAGTGTTGGTGCAATGGTAAAATGGCTGTTACCCATTCAATCCTGACCAGAAGTAACTTATGTTGTTCTGTGTTATGATGCTTTGCAGATAGTATGTTTCTCTAAAATGTTAGTAACAAGTGTGTACTAATATAATTTGAATATCTTTGTTTATGACAGTGATGACGACGCCTCTGTCACTATAACCCCATTCCTGAATTTTGTATGTTTTCATTTCGTCCAGAATGCGGTTTTGAATTCTTGTCATTCCTAAATGTTTGAACTTTGTCACATTTTTTTAAGGTTAGGTGTCCTTATATTGTGATTTTGTTTTGCATTCTGGGCATGAGCCATAAACATATACTTCGTTTTCTCTTCATTTAATTATAGGCCATTCTCATTGCTGATGAGAAAATGATGGTGTCTGTGTCAACGATACAAAACAAGGCTTTGCTGTGTAAGTTACATTTCTGTGGATAACATTATTGAAAAGTTTGTATCTTGAGTTTGGCATTGCTTAGTTCGAGTGAGTGTGTAATTACTTCCATAACTCTTATATAAAGCTACAAGAACCCAAAAAAATTTTGAAGCAACTCCAAGCAAATAAGCCAAAAGAGGTTAAGTAAAATATTTGCTGTCCCTCAGTTTAGTAAACTGTGTAATCACCATTCTTGCTACATTACACCTATAGCAGGCATGGGATTTTGGCAATTGAACTTACTAAATGGAAAGCTAAGAGCAAGTTAACTATCCAGTCAGAACAGGAGTGGTCCATGTAGTAATTTCAAATTAAGGAACAAAAACTGTGTACAGAATTTTTTTTGGACCCTGGGAAAAATTTTGTGAAGAGGATAGTAGGTGAACATTAAGGTTGATTTATGTTGTGAGGATTGGAGGTAGATGGAATGGTTTCAAATTCAATGGCCAATTTTGATTCCTGTAATATGTGAAGTTTGGCATGATGAGCAAGACAAGTGATATTGCTAGGGGAATTACATTTCCTGATTTATTGGAGGTAAACTGTAAGATTGCATATGCAAATACAAAATGCCAGAAGATTGAATATGTGCTGGTTTCTGCTACAACAGTATTAGTTGTACTTCGTAATAATGATAAATTTGCAAGATATTCGCTGTCACTCTTGTACAGGTTCTGGAAGCTATATTTTGGCAAACATATTTAGATCATAAATGGTGTTGGGTGAACGAATTCTGTACAAAACCAGAGAACTTGTGATTTTGATAGGTGTAAAGTTTTGTATGTACATTATGTATATCTGTACAAACCATATAAACCAAATTGTTCAGTGGAACGTCTTGTTTTAATTCTCTCTAGCAGGAAGTATATAATATGTTTTTTAATTTTCAAGGTGAAATTCTACTTGTTGAAATTAAGGAAGTCAAGTCTGATCGATTTTTTGTAAGAAACAAATGCCACATAATACCTGTGGCGTGATACGCCCTACTCATATATGAAAATTATTTGTTCTTTAGGTAATAAAATGTGTTATGTAAATGCACAGTTTTATTCGATCACTATGGAATAAAATTAAATTAGATTATTAAGTCTAAATTTCAGTACGAAATTTAATCGAAAGTCATTCAGTGGGTTTGAACATCGTATTTACTCTGCAGACAATTTTAAGGGAGACTAGCTGTGGAAACGTGGATGAAGAAGGGAAAAATTATAGGGTTAACGTTGTTACATATGATACATGGTGCAGAGCAGGAAGTTGTATATTCGGTATTCACTAAAAATGTATAATGCGTTTAATCGGAATCTTTGTCATGTTACATAAAGCATTTCATTTAGTCATATATAGTTTTGTTTTTATTGAATTGCGGGAAAAGTGTGTAGTCCCCACAGTGCTCTGCACCGCAGATTGGTAACTTACTATCGAGTACTGTAAGAACGTTACAGCAGGAAATGTTTATAATGAAACGTGTTTAATAATTCAATGCATAATGTTAAAGAAACCTCGACGCTTCTCCATTACGAAGACCAGTTTGTCGAGTCTGTTTATAGAAATAGTAGCTATATACACAGAGTATTGTATATGTATGTATATATGAAACATAAAAAAGTTAAAGGTTTATATATTGTCGAATTGGTAGTATATATATTGTTAGGCTTGCTTTAGAGGTTATTGTACTACATCGAAAAGGAAAGATTAGAGACTTTCGTTCATCGCACCTTCCACAAATATGTAAGATTGTTACAGGAACAAGGTGTGGGATTTTTATCTTTACAGCAGAATTACTGGATGGCACATTTTCGGAGCTTAACATAGCAAAAATCGTTTGTGTATACAAACGAGAGGTATATTCAGTCAATAATCTTTACGGGAAGTGTAACTGATGGCGGGGACTGTGTTCCTTTGTATCCTTGAGTCACCGAGTTTTTGAATTATGGAGATAAAGTGAATATCTGGTTCCGTTGACCGATGTGTTGATATAATCTGTGGTTCTACTGGTTCATATGTTGGTATATGTGTGGTGAGAAGGAAGACCGGAAAGAGATAATGTTGGTTACAAACACACACATTCTATTATGTTGGTAATCGTGTTTTACAGTCAGCCGGAGTAATGTGAGTAAAGTGAGGTTATTTGTTGATTCAGATTTGTGAAACTAATTTTTAAAATGCCTTTTGGCACAAAACCAGAATGCGTTAAGTGCCAAAAGACTGAATGTTGTATGTGGAAAAGCACTTCGGAAGGCAAACTGTGCAATGATTGTTTTAATCTGAATGAAAACAATGGCAGTAATATTAAAGTTGAAGAGCCTGTGAACCCTTGTAAAGCTGGAACTCAGGATAGTGGCGGACCGAAAATTGCTACAAGGAAGAGTGCAAGAAATACAAGAAACTATAAGACAAGACTAAATCCTTATGCTCTACCAAAACCAGTTGCCCCTAAAGGAAAGGGGAGACGAGTTATTTTCAAGAAAAGTGTAAGTTATGCCCTTTTGTAGTATTATTGGTGGAATTAGGTAAATCCCCGGAAGCCAGGCATTATAACTTCATTAATTTTCGGATTAGGAAACCTATTTCCAAATTTGTAGTTGGTTTCTTTATGTTCTGTTGCACCTTATTCCTCATACAAGTCTCCATTTGAAGTAGTACAATGCTATTATCAACCACTCATCTCTGCTATACTTCCAATGTGTGTTTTTAGCCATTATCAAGTGCATTAGTACAGCATCTCATTTTCTAAATATCATACATTGTGCCTCACTTAATATGAAACCCACCAGTACAGCATGCCACAGCAGCAGCAGTGAATTATCAGGAGGAAATGAGTTTGTCACAGTGCAGGACATAGACATAACATGCTAGTAGTAGTTGGGTTCAAAGTTATGTAGGACTGTGCTGTTTAACATTATTTCATATTAGATGTAAATGAAGTACTGTAATAATGTAACTGTTGATAATAATTTGAATCCAAAATGCATAGTGAATACATAGCTTAAATGTGTGTTTCTTTATGCTGTTGTAAATAATATTGCTTCCTGGTTAGATATGGTTTTCTTGGTTTTTGTCAGATTGTGTTGAATTGGCATAATGTTTGAGAACTCAAACCATGCTCTACTCATTTACATTGATCATGCAGAGGACAGCTCTTCTCTATAAGTTTGGCACAACTTACGTTGTTGTGAAGGTGGGCGTATTTAGTCTAGTTCAGTTCTTTATATTTGCTAATAATATTTATACGGTGAGTTTTATGAATTATGCAACCAAGTAGCAAAGGTCAAGCCAGCTTTAAATGGCATAGGGGCCAAAATTTTTTTATTTACTTAAAAAAATAATGAACATCATTTGCACCTGAAGTATAGTGAACTCTTTGTGAAATTAAAATGCTTAGTAGAGCTCAGCAATGAATGATTGTTGGTAGTGTGACATTTATTATTCTGCATTGGTCATAAATTGATATGTGTATGTATTTTTTCAGTGTACAAAAGCACCTGCAGCTGTTTCTACTCCAGTGACTAGTGATTATGTGTTTTATAAGGTAAAACTTTGTGTTTATCCTAATTTGGAATAATGTGCGTTTGCTTTATTTTGACATTGTGGATTATTTGTAATTTCTTCATTTGGGCTCAAATATATGAATAAATGTATATGTTGGAAAAACAGGATTTAGTATTTAGAGTAGAGTCTGAATTATCTAACCATTGGTTATATGACATTCTGTTTTATCTTGTGCTGTTAGTCATAGTGGGGGATAACCATTAATTTATGTTAGACTCAATTGAAACTTTCCAGAAGAGCAGTTCAAGGAAAGAAACTTCATACAGAATAATACTCTTATCTCAGCTGTTGATTAATACTGTTGAAAATAGATTTGTTTTTGCCCATTTTCCCAATAACTGAAGATGAAAATAGATCCAGTTTTTGAAATAGTGTGTGCTTTATAGAATACCAGATGATGGACAGTTTCCAAAAATTCATTAATTCAGATTGTAATACACCATTGTCGAAACCCTTATAATCGAATAATACACAATTCTAATATAGTTGCTGTCGGCATTATAAAGGAATTAAAATAATCTTTTTTCTATAATGTAATAAGTGTGTATGTACAGAGATGTAGAATTACAAAGAACTGAGGCATACTTTTCTACTCTTTTTGTTATAAAATGTGTGTTTTTAGCCCATTTTCCCTAACATCTAAAGACAGTCATATGGTATTATTATATGTGTCTGTTCCATGTTGATGAATTTTCATTAAATAATATTCCATTAGAGGTGATTGGATTTTGCTTGCCCAGGACAGGGACCGGTGGAGGGCTTTTTGGTTAATTCGGTGATGAACCTTCAGGTTCCCTAAGCCATCTAGTTAGTTAGTATTCCATAAGAGGTCATCATCATCTCTGTATCCAAATTTCTTGTTATGATACAATTTGTCATTCATTATTAACTAATGGATTTATAATGAAATAATTTAAAGAAATTCATGCAGATATTCTTTTATTTAATTTCCAGGGAAGCTATTTCCAAATTGGAGATATTGTGTCAATGCGAGATGTTGATGGTGGACTGTATTATGCCCAGATCCGTGGTTTGCTTACAGATCAGTATTGTGAAAAGAGCTGTGTAGTGACATGGCTGCTTCCTACACAGGCAAGCCCTAACCCAGAGGAGGGGTTTGATCCTGCAACCTACATTATAGGTAATATTACACTGTCGTAATTAAATTTCAACTATTATGAAGTGTTGTGAATAAACTATTTTTGGCCCCTTTCTAGTCTTATGTTAATGGTAATTTATTGAGTGAAAATGTAAGTACCAGAAAGAAAAAGTTCTGTTAGTCACTTGCTATAAGAATAAACCCCAAATTAATTATTCATATCCTATTCGTGTGAAAAGGCACAAGATACAACTGATATTTTATGTGGTAATGAACATAATTTGGTAATCCTTTACAGGACCAGAAGAGGATATTCCTCGGAAACTAGACTGCGTAGAGTTCGTGATGCATGCACCTTCAGATTACTTCAAGGCTCGAAACACTCCCTTTCCACCTCCTCATGTTGATGGTTGTGACAGTAGTTTCATCTGGACAAGGCTTACACCACAGATGAGGTCTACATAATCTGAATACATAAGGACACCTGAACAATATGATTGACTGTTCTCGTCAAGTTCAACCTAACAGAAAGACATTCTCATGGTATTATAATATTCATCTTTTCATGAATCCATTTCTATCTTTATTAATGCTGTATTTATCCAAATACCACATGCACCTTTCTTTCAAAATGATTTGTATAAGAAAAACTGGTTGTCATATCTGACAGTTCATTTAATAAAATTTGCCTTTTATTTTTTTCTTAAAAAGAATATAAAACTGTGCACATCATATTTTGGGATAATACAGTAAGATTTTAGTAAATTTAAGAATTTTCACAAAACTTTGTATGAGCATCATCTCACTAGAGGCTACCAACTCTTACCAATAATACCAACATGCATCTCCTGAGGTGGCTGCAATTTTAGTGCCACTATCTATAGAATCCTGAAATTTAGTGTAGTAATACATTATTAAGATCCTATGGAACTTTTGTTGAGGTTATATTGTGTAGAGTGTAAAAATATGGCAGTCATACAAAATCAGTATTTTTATTTTGTTTGATGGTGATATTTAATGAACAGTTGAAGATAGGCATGTGTCCAGAATGTTATATGAAACATGATGATCCTGTCACTAGAGGATTCGAACTTTAACATTAAGTCCACTGTGCACCAGCGGTGGTCCAGCGTTATAGGTACTGAACCCAGGACGAAACCGTGTGCTTTGCCTGTGTCATGTATTTGACACAGGAAATAAGACAACTGGCTGCAAAGTATTGCTGCTGGGAAATACATTCTCAACAACCATTCCCAACTGGATGAAATGGTTGAAATTGGCAAACACGTGACTGCAGTCTCTTGGCAAATGTTGTCTTTGAAATCACCACTGGTTCAGCA